ATGCTGGCTGTCACCAACCACCTCGTTCTTTGGGTTTCATTTTGTAAAATTTGCCAAACAAATACAAATTCTACAAAATGAAACCCACAGAACACGCCTATTATATTGGTCATGGTTCAGACCTAGATATGGAATGTCCAAACATGACTTGAGCAGGCTTTAAGACGAAGTAATGATTTTCAGTTTGAGATTTAGTGTTGGTTTCTATTTTCAGTAGATTCAACAGGACATGAGCTTTACAGGAGCTCACTGATGCCAGTTACAGCAGGAAAAGAGTTTGCTTTTTCCACTCAAGTCTGCTGCATGAAACTTAAATCCAGGTTCCTGTTTGTAGACTGGAGACTGCATCTGCCTTAGACTTTCTGTAATTAGTTTGACTGGGTTTGATCACTTGTCTGTCTTCAAGGTGAAACACCTTACCCATGACTGGAGAACCACAGCCTACGCACTGAAGTACTCGGACACTCTTGAGCTCAATGATGATAACAAAAAGGTTAGAAGAAATACTCCAGTTCCAGTGTTTCCAAGCGAAAACCTCCCTACCAGGATGTTACTGGTGTATGATATCCACATGGTTTCTGAGCTGCAGGCTCTTAAACAAGAAAATGGATGCATGCAAGAAAGGATAATGGAGTATCTCCTCAAGGCCTTTGTAACTTTTGGTGTAATTTCATCAGTCCGTATTCTCAAGCCTGGTAAGGACCTACCACCCGATATCAGGAGGGTCAGCAATCGGTACACCCAACTGGGAACTCAGGAGTGTGCAATTATAGAATTTGAAGAAGTAGATGCTGCTGTACGTGCTCATGACTTTATGTGTGCTGAAAAGAAAGAGACTGGTATGAAAGTTGTCCTAATAGGCATGAAACCTCCAAAGAAAAAAGTTCCAAAAGACAAGAACCGTGGTGAAGGTACCAGCAAGGGTCTTAAGAAGGCTAGATCCCTTAATAAGAGAGTTGAGGAACTTCAGCTTGTTGGTGATGAATCTTCAGCAAACAGCTCTTCCGACCCAGAGAGTAATCCTACATCTCCCCTGTCAGGACGCAAAAGTACTTCAATGAATACTACACGGAATTTGACCCCAGTCATTCACCCAAATGACCATTTGAGTCCTAATGTGTCACCCAGATCAAGTCCTTGGAACAGTCCATCTTCATTAAGAAAAGTAACCAAAAAGTCTCCTCTGGCTGAAGACCGCAAGCTTAACCCAAGCACTAGCCCTGAAATTCCAAGGAAGTGTACAGATTATTCCTCGGATAGCAGTATCACTCCTTCTGGTAGCCCCTGGGTACAGAGGAGAAAAGCTCAAACTCTATCACAAGAGAAGAGTCCCATCACTAGCCCTGTGCTGGTTCAGAAAATACAAAATGCAGATGGTCTACCTGTGGGGGTGCTGCGGCTGCCTAAAGGCCCTGATGGCACTAAAGGATTCCACAATGGATGTGAAAGAAGGAAGGCTTTGAAGGATGAGTAAATTATTCTTTAAAAACAATCTTAGAAGTCAGGCAAGCTTGGTTAAGAACTGTCATTTGAATGACAAAGTTAAGTCAATATTTAAAGATTTTGTATTCATATAGAGACTTTATCATTTGTATATTTGTATATTCACTTCACAGAATCCCAGAGTAGTTGAGGTTGGAAGGCATGTCTGGAGATGAAATCCAGTCCACCTCCTTTGCTCAAGCAGGGTCCACAACAGGTCACTTAGGGTTTTGAATATATGCAAGGATAGAGACTCCCAATTTGTTTGGGCAGTGTGTGCCTATGTTCAACCATCCACACAGTAAAAAAGTGTTCTGGTCAGGTAGAATTCCTGTGTTTCAGCTTGTGCCCCTTTTCCTGTTACTGGCTATTACTGAGAAGAGCCTAGCTCCACCTTCTTCACTCCTTCCCATGAGACATGAAGAAGATTGAGATCCACCCCAAGCCTTCTCCAGGTCTTTCACAGGAGAGACACACCAGTCTCAATCATCTTGCACGCTTACCTAATGCAGTGCCAATACCTGCATTACTACTTTACTACTTTTTTAATAACGTATTAGTTAGAAATTCAAAAATATTGAAACAGGCATATAAATCATTCCTGTCACTATATTGTTTGCAAAGCTATAATCCTGAAAAGCGGTGTGTAAATACTTACAGTTGAGCTGTTGTATTATGATAAGCTGTAGTATAATCATAAGGAGTTAGAGGTTTTGAAGACTTTGTGTTTGTCTAAGAAAGAACTCTGAGAAACTTACACTGCAGTAAGCAGTTGCTCCCTGCTTGTGTACATCCCCAAAGACAGCATTGTTTAGTAGAACCAAAGTGTATATTTTCATGCAATGTGAATAGAGACTGAGCACTGGAGACTATTCTCTAAGTGTCCTCTCACATAATCAGATGGAAATAAATGAAAATACTAACTTGGTCTAGATCTATTTTGTTTTCTTTAAAAATAAGTTGAGCTGAACCTGAATAGATACTTAAACCTTATCTTACACCTTTGAAATTCTAGAAATAGTTACATGAATTTTCCACTGTGTTGGGGGGGTGGGGGAAGAGGTTCTCTGCCATTTCTGATGGTTACTCCAGTGGTGATGCTTCACTCCAACTGTATGTCACAGTCCTTTTTTTTTAATATTGTAAACTTAACAATGGTTACATCACTTTTAACTGAATTTAACAAGCAGGCTCAGCAAGAAGAACTCAAATTAAAATTTAAGCCAAAGAAGGAATCTCTGTGGTTTACTTATAAAAGTTATACTCCTGAAAAACAGCCCAGTGACAGTAAGAAGGTAAGGTCTCAGCTTCTAATGGACAGCTTGGGAACTATGCACAACAAAGTTATCATCAGACAGTGATTCTTCATTCCAAAACTTCTGCACAACCTTTCCAACTTTCATTTCCACTCTAAGCATAACACTTCTGCAGTGTAAATAACTGCAGTGACATGCAGTCAGAAACCTATATACAGAAATCCCCCTGTACTGCCTATCATTCTTTAGACATCCAAATATACTTCTGGTTCTTTTACTTCACACAAATGGAATCCTCCAAGTTACCTGCTCACTCCCATTATCAGCCAAGACACTATAAATACTATTAAACACAAAGCGGTGATCTGCAAGTACCTAAGTGACAGGGTGAGTAAGAGTCTTCAGAAGACTAATTCTGTAACTCTAGCTTATATATAGCAGCACTGTTTCACTACGTATCTAGAATACTTGTTTCATGAATAATCAGGGGAGGTTTTCTTTAATTACAAAACTGTGCAGCATCCATGTGTCATCTTGTAGCAAACTTTGGGGACAGTACTACACCTGATGCAAGGCTGCATTTTGAAGACACACAGCAGTCAATTAAATGGAAATATGGAGGACCATATATAATAGTACATATTGCTAAAAATCTCTAAGACACTGTATGCTTGCAGGGAAAAAAGGAAGTTGAAACCAACAGCATGTACTAGGGCTATGCTCTCTGACTGAACGCGTCTACATGTCACATTCAGCATGTAAACATTAAAAATCAAATTTACTTCTATCTAACAGTCTGAAACTAAAAATCTGATCAGACACTAATGATGAGTCTAAAGTTTTACACTTGGTAGATAACAGGATGATCTCTTAGTAAATAAAAAGGATGTTGACAGTTTTTCTTCACTGATAAACCAAATACTATCTATTGAAGAGTTATTAGAAGGCCATAACCCATTAAAATATTGTAATACTTTATGAGAGATGCCATCTCACTTGAGTGGAGGTCCACTTACCCTGAGACTGAGATACACTTACTGCAGCATTCCAGAACGCTGCACAACCTGTCTTCAGAGAGCTTTTCAATAAGGAGCAAGAATACATTTACCATAGTTATTTTTGTGGAAGGAAAATGCAGACAAGCTTGATCAAATAGCAAGTGATAATGCGACTTCTTCAAAGATAATGTGATCAGTGAAACTACCTGGAAAGTAATTGTTTACAGAAAGTCAGCATAAGATCTTATTTTGAGGTCAGACAAGAATACATAAAATCAAGTTCTGTTTCACATAATTTCCCCCCATCTCCAAAAGAAATTATTTCTGTTTGGAAAGCATTCTGTGGCAAACTCAGGTCACCACGCACACGTACCAACCTCTTTGCTAGCCTCCCCCTGCCGCCTTTTTTCCCCTCCTTTTCATTTCTTACTGCCACTTGGAGCCAGAACAACTACTTTATGCCGACCATATTAAAAAAGACAAGAGCAAAAGTCATAAACAGCTTTTGTATCATTGTATTCAGTATTCCTTGTAGAGCCCAAAACATTTGCTTAATTAATCAATATAAAAATATATTGGGTATGAAATACCTTCTCTCTGGATACTTTCTACACCAGCTAGCAATGTCGAGTATTAGATACTGCCACATGGGTGTCTTCGTATGTATTTTGATACCTTCGTATCAAAATACAGATGCAAGTACACAGAGACACACCTAGTGAACCTGTGCCTTCCTGAACCAAGCAGCACTGTCTGCTGTCAGAACAGGACAGAAGAGAGGTGATGCTGCCTGCAGACAGCAGGTCTTGCTCCAGGAGCTCCCACTTGCTAAATCCTGTAGTAGGTTATACATGCTTCTCTTCTGCAGATCTCAGATGCACACACACACACTTGAAGTAGTGGTTTTGAACACCTGGGAGATTAAAGCTGGGTTTATTGCTCCCCCCCGCCTTGAGAAACAAACAGCAAATGTAAAAAGCATTTTAAGAATTAGACCATTTCTCCCAAGTAGCTCACAATTTACCAAGGCATTCAAGATTCCTAACTTTGTCTAAATACTGCCAGTGCTAAGTACATCAATAGACACTGCCACATCTGCTACATAATCCACAGAAGCCTTCAGTCATACATGTACACCAATAAAAACAGATGCGATATTTCATTCCTTCGGGACAAATATTTCATTCTCCCTGAGTTTGTTTCTGTCTTAACATTTAATCAATGGCTCAAAACTTTAGTTTAAAACCAATACCATACACAAATATACACACCATACAAACTGCTTGGCATAATGTTGCCAACAGAGACATTTTAAACCCTAGCAGCTGTGCCTTCATTTTGCTCCAACTCCCAGATGTTTGTCGTATGATGATCTATTTCAACTAAGAACTTGATGAAAATGCTGTATCAACTGGACAGAAACAACGTGACAACACACTTGGAATTCTAGTCACTGGTTGAGAGCCTTTCCTGATTACAGAACATTGACTTCTGTTCCCACAAACAAAGGACATATTCCTGTTGTCTTCATTCTGCACAGGCACAGTTTATGGGATGGATTTATAAACCTGAAGTCTGAATAAAGCCAGGAACTTCAGTAAAAAAATGTTTATTATGTGAGCTAATACACCCAAGCTGTTTAGAACAATGTTTCAATCAATCAAACAGAGTTGGCTTCAGCCTACCCCACTGTTCCCTGAGCTTTGATTTTACTACATTTGAAGCAAAGATATAGTTGATGGAGTCGTAGGAAAGATCCCACATCTGTGATCGAGTCAGATTAAATGTTTTTGCAACCAGCTCGTATTCTTGCGATAGATCTGTTGCAAAGACGCCTTTATCATCAGTCTGGAGTTAAATTGAAAGAAAAGAAAAAGGTTGAATTAATTCCTCTGCATAAAAAGGGGATTTCCTACACATTACACACCAGTTTATCTTGCTGATTCACATTTTATTCCACAGTTCTTTCGTCTGTTCGTAATTATTTCATACTTTATTTGCCCTATTTCTACTCAAAGTTAATGAATTATTCAAGCATACAAGAAAACTTCTTAAAGCGATGGCAACAATTTATCAAGAGAATAGGGATTTGCTATTAAAATTGCTAGAAAGATGGCTAGCAAATGATGCAGACATTCAAGCTATGTCAATATGTGCACATCTCCTTATTCCTCTTCCCCCTTTCCTCAGATCTGGGCACTAGAACATACTCTGTATTCCTGTATCTTCAGGGGAGGAATTCTCTCACCCTCTGCACTTGGTGGCAGCCAGCACAACTTCTTGATATGGACTGAAGCACTAGGCTAGCATCAACAAAAAGATCAAAAGCCATCTGAAGATTATTAGTCTAAAAGGAGCAAGTTTGGATTATTTTAGGGTTAATGAGATGATCCATTTGCAACTCAGAGTCCTTATGTCCCCACAGAGGAGAATGCTAACTATATCCTGTTAAACTTAAGATGCTTAGTGTCTTCTATTGCTCTTGTTTTTATAGGCCTTTATGTGCTGATAAAAGCAAGTCATGTTTTCCTGCATGACTTCATTGGTTATCTAGACTTTTCACAGCTGAAAATCTCTGAAAATAATCTCTAGTAATGAATTATTTTTCACCTACTACAATAGAGTTCAAACTCAATAATAAATACTTCATACAGTAAAGGATCGAGGCTAATTTGAATAGGAAGCACAATACTACATATACACACATTGAAAAATGCTGCAAATTATAGGTGTTAAAC